TCTCAAATTCTTTTCACTACTTTCCTCTGTGGGACTTTTGTAGCTGCATTATTTTTCCAACTACACTGCTCCTGTCCCAGAATGGAGGAACTTATCCCAGAATGAAAGGATCTCAGCATCTCTGTGTCTCTGTCCTTTTTACTGTAACTGGACAATCAATGTATCTGTGCTGCCTGTCATTACTTGAGCCAATTTAGCAGAGACATGATTGACTCATATGTGAGTGTTTATTCTAGTAACCCTGGCAGTGTGGGAAAGCAGAAGATCATCCACAAAATTCTGCTTTATCCCCTCCCTCTCTACCACCATAGCCAGCTGCTTATATGGGGACAAGAACAAAAATTACATAGGGAAGTAGGCAAGAGATAAAAATGAGTGTGCAAAATGGGCAGTTTACAGGTAATGCAGACTGAGGATTTGCAAAAGCCTGGAATTGTACAAAGGGCTAAGGGTCTTCAAAGGACTGGCAGCTCTGGTTTTTGCAACAAGCTTGTTAATATTTCCATAATAATAGGCAATTCCTAAATGTGGAGTGTTGGAGACTGGGTATTGGAGACACAGTCCTTGCACCTGAAGGACCCCTACCCACACAGTTTACCCAGACTTGTTTGGATGGCAATTATCAGTAAAATGAGAGCAACCTTTCATGACTTGCCAAGAAGTATGTAACTATTTACTGAGATTTGCTATACCAAGAATTTGTCCTTCTGCTCTGTCTCTTCTTAGAGATTAAGAGGAACAAAGAATACAGTCTTCTTGACAGACCTTCTATTCAGTGTTTTGTGTATAAAAGACATTGCACAGTTAATGAAGTCGCTGCATTTGGTCAATGGCTACCTGTAGTCCTCCCGATCCTGTTCTCCTGTCTTTCTTTCTTTTCTCAATTCCCATCTCCCTGTGGTTCAACTGTTAGGCTGGCCCTGGCAGTGGAGAATGGTCCACATTTTCAGATGAGCTCCTATGTCCTACATATAATTCCCAGCCAAGTTAGAAAATGCCTTCTTTAACAAAGCAGTCAGAGTTAACAGAGCATGATTAATATTTCTTTCTTTAAAATATATTTTATTGATTTTTTACGGAGAGGAAAGGAAATAGAGAGCTAAAATAATTGATGAGAGAGAGACATTGATCAGCTGCCTCCTGCACATCCCCTGGGGATGTGCCCACAATCAAAGGACATGCTCTTGACTGGAATCAAACCTGGGACCCTTCAGTCTGCAGGCTCTATCCACTGAGCCAAACCAATTAGGGCAATATTTCTTATAATTGTAGCTACTCCCCAGTGTTTTATTTATGCCCCTAAGATTAACAGTCTGTGTGAACTTTCTCTTTTTATCCTTCAATATAATGCTCCTGTTTAAGTATAATTACTCTAAATTTTAGCTGTAACTCCAGTTTGTCACCAGGTGTAGCTGTTGTATTGCTTTTACTTACTCCATAGCATTTTGGAATCCAATAGTCACTCTTTGTTGGTTCCCATGTATAATATATACAACAGTTAATTCTCCCAGTCTTATGAGTGGCCTTGTGTAGAAAGTAAACTTTATCCCACCCGATTTATATATGTTAGAAATAAGGCGAGCCCTCCAAGTCGGGGGTTCTTCTGATAAAACACTCGGGAACCAGACAGCAAGGCAAACATACTTACTTCTATGTAGAAGGGTTCACCCACATGGTCTGGGTGCACACTGAGCATACTGTCTCTTTGGCTTTATAATCCCATTGATCTGTCCTTTGTTTTTTTATAGTATGTGACCTTGCTCTTGATTGGAGCTCTTGATTGGAGCTCAGGTGCACAGTCTTTCGAGATTGGCTCATTCAAAAGGTGGCCCCTAGGGGAGTTGCAAGCCATATTGCCAACATGGCGGCTGCCAAGACATGTGGTCCAAATGGCAGCTGTCTAAACTGTTCTTTAACAGAAAAGATGACTTGTGTATTCTCACACATAGCTTCGCTTTTCTCTTAAATTTTTATTATTACCTAAGCAACCTATTTTATTCTTAGTAGTTCCCAATGTTGAGATTGTGCCAAAACTTGTCAGTGTTCCCATTGGGGGATCTCAGCACCTCATTTCTGATTGATTAGAAGTCATACCCTCAGCGCCTTTTAAAGTATGCATATACATTCCTTTAGGGAAATTTGACATATGTATATTTCTCTTTGCTCTAAGCACTGGGGTGAGATCCAGTTAAGAACTGTTTCTTGCCAAAACCGGTTTGGCTTAGTGGTAGAGCGTCGGTCTGTGAAAATTCCAGTTTTGATTCTGGTCAAAGACATGTACATTGGTGATGGGTACATCCCCGACAGGGGGCATGCAGGAGGCAGCTGGTTGATGTTTCTTTCTCATCAATGTTTCTGGCTCTCTATCTCTCTCCCTTCCTCTCTGTGAAAAATTATTAAAATATATTTTAAAAAAGAATTTTTTTTTTCCCCATCTCATTTAACTTCCCAGACTATCAAAAATGAGTCCTCTAATCAGCAAACACAAACCACGATGCCTTTCCTGGGATGTGGTAGAGGCAGAGTGTGGGAAATGGTTATCCTTGGTCTCTGGTAAGGATTGTAATTGGCCCCAGATAGGTGTTTAATTAGAAACTTGTCCCTCAAAACAGAATTATGAGATACACTAATAAGTCTCATTCAGAGAAATACTGGGTTGTGCTTCATTCTGCTTTGACTTCACAGTGCCAGAGGCAAGTGTCGATGTTAGGAGCTGTATTACGTTTGATCGATCAATTAAGTTGATACCCCTCTAGGAACTGGCTTTTCAGGCTACTTCGCTATGGACATTCTATTTGCAGAGACCACATTTCACTTGTGGTAATCACATTCCATTATGTCTCCTCTGGATATGCATAAAGAAGTCTCTGCACAGATAGAGACCAACAAAATTCCTTAAAAAGCTGCTGACTCCAGTTACTGGATGCTGGAGCCTTCCAGGATTAGCCACCTGTTGGGCAGATGATAGAATAAATTGGTAATCCCTCACCACTCTGGCCTCATGTGTTCCTCCTTTTTCAAAGGAAAAAGATAAAATCAACAGCAACTGTCCAAGAAGAAGATTTTTTTTCAGATGTTAGAATTATCAAAGACTTTTAAATTAGCTATATTTAAAATTTTCAAAGAGCTAAAGGAAGAAAGGAGTAAAATGAAAAAAAAACGCAGTATATGATTATAATGGGATAAACAATAAAGGGAACAGAAACTTCATAAGTATTGGTATGGCTACCTGCCACAGGGATGGCTGTGCAGTAGAAGAATGAGGAGCTGCTATAGCATTGTTTACTCAAGATGAACCAAAATTTACCATTACTTACTAGCCAATCATTTCTCTGAAAGGTCCATGCCTTTGAAAAAACCTCAGAGTTTCAAAATATATCACACAATTTCTGCAAGTGCAGTTAGTATCTTGCTTTAGAGACAGATTCCTGGCTTTTCTACTCAGCCACCTCCCATGATGTCACTTTCATCTCTTGTTTATTCAATTTATCCTCATGGATGCACTGTTATAAAAGCCACACAATATTATTTGCCTTTTTCATTAATTATAAACCCTTAACTTCATTTTATCCTTTCTTTTGAAGCAGATGACTATGCTTTTTTTTTTTCCTTAGAGGAAAGAAAAGCTATTTTTACATACCTGTAACTTTTTTGTATATGTATCCATCACTGGAGCTCTTTTGATGGCTTTTATATCATTAACTAGAGACCCAGTGCATGAAAATTTATGCACTTGATGGGGATGGGTCCCTCAGCCCAGCTGCTCCTTTTCACAGTCCAGGAGCCCTCAGGGACAGGAGGTTACCTAGCAATCAGGGGAAGGTGATGTTTCATCACACCTTTGCTGCTGTCACTGCTGGCAGCACAAGCCTTAGCCAGCCCTGGATACCTGAGCCATAGGCAGCCCTGGGCAGCCATCGAGGCTTGCCTATACCTCAAGCCAGATCTGGGTGGCTGGGTAACCTCCATCCAAGGCTTGCCTGAGCCTTGGGCTGGCCGTGGGGGACTAAAGAGACTGGGACTCTGGAGGCAGGCAAATTGAATAATCAGAACCACCTGGGGGTGAGCCCAGTCATGCTGTGCACCAGCCACTCCAGCAGGGTGGAGGGGACTGGATGCTGCCATTTTGTGGCTGTGGACACTGCCATCTTTGATGGCATGGCAGTCAATTAGCATATTCCCTCCTTATTAGCTGTGGGTACTGCCATCTTTATGAAGGTGTAATGGGAAATTAGCATATTCCCTCTTTATTAGATAGGATGTTTATTAGCTGAATTTCAAGTACCTACTCAAATAAGTATAATTTAGTGAAATAGGACAGTCATTTCTTAGCTATAACATCAGCAATTTGTTATTACTGTTAGCATTAAAGAGTACAGTTGCAATAGGTATGATACTATTTTGACTCAAGTTCTGGTATAAAAGAATCTTTGGAGAGGGAAAGAAATAGGTTTAGTTACAGATAATTTGTACAGAACCTATACCAGTTTAAATGTGTTGTTTGTGATCCAAGATAAAATAGAAAAGCAAAATTATTAGTATTATTAAATTACACTTATTGAGGTGACGGTTAATATAAATTACAGTTGTGCAACATTATGAATCAATATCTATATATTGTATTGCATGCTTACTATCAAGATCTTGTTTCTTTCTCATTGTATTTTCACCCATGTCATGAATTTTAATAGAAGTGTTTTTAATAGGCATAAATATGTTGTTGTTTGACAAGTTTCTTAGCTATTTCTTGCTCTTGTCATTTATTCTTCATGAAAGCTTAAGTAAAGTGTCACCAAGACTAGTAATTTAACTCTTTAAAAAAAAAATTGTTTTTACTGTTTAAAAATATGCATTGAGATTTGTTTTCTTCATATACTTTTGTATACAACATTCAAAGTAAGAGAGTAGTAGAAAAGGTTCCATGAATGTAGTAATTCTTTCACTTGGAAGTCAAAGATTCTTACTGTAATTTCTAAATTCTAAGTGTGTTTGTTTTATAGCTGGAGGAGAGTTGGAATGTTCAGAAGCAAATGAAGGTTCTACAGAAGAAGCAGTCCCAGATTGTGAAAGAAAAAGTTCACTTGCAGAGTGAACATAACAAGGCCGTTTTGGCAAGAAGCAAACTAGAGTCTCTCTGCAGGGAACTTCAGCGTTACAACAAGACATTAAAGGTTGGATGTTTATTTGTTTTTTAGGAGATAATTTAAGGCTGATTTTATAATCAGTGAATATCTATTTAAAATAAACTCTTGCTTGTTTTGCAGTGATGAGACTTACATCCTATATATCCTATATAATAAAAGCATAGGTGGTCTCAGGACCTTGCACATCATCGTCACAAGATGACCACAAAAGATGGCCAACAAGGCCGGCAGTAGAGCAGTTTAGGGAGCAATCAGGCTGGCAAGCAGAAGTGGTTAGGGCAATCAGGTAAGCAGACAGGCGAGAGGTTAGGAGGCAACATTCCCGGACTATGAGAGGGATGTCCAACTACCAGTTACTTTGTAAAACATTCCACATTTTGTTTGTCAGAGGTCCCCTAAGGGGTTTCAGATTGGAGAGGGTACAGGCTGGGCTAAGGGACACTTCCTCATGTGCATGAATTTTGTTCCCTGGTCCTCTTGTCCACAGCCAGGATTGTAACATCTACAATGACTGGAGGCTTGGCTGTGTAGCAAGCGAGTGGTCTGAACTGCTGACGTCTTGAAGAGGGCTGATCAGCAGCAGCAGCTACTGGCGAGGCCTGGGTGAGAAGCAGGATTATCAGACCCTTTTCTCACCTGGCCTCGCCAGCAGCCAAGCCCCTCTCTGTTTTCCAGAGGTCAGCAGTTCAACCTGTTCACCAGCAGCATGGGGCGGCTGATGATCAGCCCCACCTCTATGATCAGCTCTGTAGATAGGCCCTGGAGATGGTGACTGGCATAGAAACCAATCAGAACAAAATATGGGTGAACTGCAAAGGCAGAACCTAAGGTGGGAAATGAGGAGCGGTTTTAAGGGCATCAGCTGTCTGGTGTAAGAAAGTAGTCCAATTTTTTAATGACCAGTTTCGCAGTATAGTGCATGTGGCTGGCTATCAGTCCAGATACAGGAATTACATGTTTTTGTCTGCCAAGAGCATCTCCAGCTGAAAAAGGCTTCCCCTGTCCCCCCATTTAAGCAATCCAATCCTATCTAATAAAGAGGGAATATGCTAATTTCCTATCATGCCCTCATAAAGATAGTGGTGCCATGGCCAATAAGGAGGTAATATGCAAAATTGACTGCTATGTCCTCAAAGATGGTGGCATCTACAGCCACAAGATGGTGCCACCCAGTTGCCTCATCCCTACCAGGGCGGCAGGAGCACAGCATAGCCTGCCTCTGGAGTCCCTCAGTTTCCTCAGCCCCCCAGCTGCCCAGGGCTGGCTCTTTGGACAATTAAATGACTGAACAAGCAGGCTGAGTGGATCAACCAGGTCAGAAGGGGGGTTAGGGAGGGATGGCCAAATGACTAAATGCATGGGGCAACCAGACCAGCAGGGGTGTTAGTGAGGGGTGACTAGGCTGGCAGGGGAACAGGTGAGGGTTACAGGGGGAAGGGAGGGGAGAAGGTTGTTGGGAGTGACCAGGCTGGCAGGGGGTAGCATTGGGAGCGATTAGACTGGCAGGGGGGCAGGCAGTGAGTGGTTACTAGGCCACGAGGGGAGCAGGGGGAAGAAAGGGGGCAGTTAGGAGTGTCCAGGCCGGTGGAGTAGGGGCAGTTAGGAGCAACTAGGCTGGCAGGGAGGAGGCATTTGTTGCAACCTGGCCAGCACCTGGAGGCAGTGAGGGGTGTTCAGGCTGGCAGGCAGGCAAATGAGCTATTAGGAGCAATGATCAGACATCCCCCAAGGGGTCTCATATTGGAGAGGATGCAGGCCAGGCTGAGGAACCCTCTCCCCCTCAGTGCAAAAATTTCTGCACCAGGCCTCTAGTCTATAATAATAAAATTGTAATACGCTAATTAGATTGGGCTTGTGAGGGAAGTCCAGGTCCTATGTGCCTACTGATGGCCAGAGGGAATCCAGTGCCAGCAACTAGGGGATGGAGGGCCTTCTCTTGCACTAATTTCATGCATCAGGTCATTAGGTAATAACTGGTGATTAAACTAAGTACACAAAGTTCTTAAACATAGGACTTTGTAATGTCTTCAAAGATATATACTTTCCTGCTTTGCTTTGGCTAGTACTGAGCAAAATTTGAAGACTCATTCTTTCTATTTAACTTTTGATTTGGGTTTCAAGGAAGAGCCCTGAATATATCTCATTTCATTAAAGGAATCTATTTTCCTGTTTAAGGATGTTATATACATAGTCCTTCAGCTTAAAAGCTCAAGATCACCAGAAGCTCTGCTTATCATCAATGTAGTTGATTACCATGTCCTCCTTGAATAAGGAATGAAATGTCTGCTTGAAATGAGATTACTAGTAATAGATAGGAGTGAAAATAAGTTTGAAACAAGAAAGTAGGGGGTAGAGCTATACAACAAATAGTAAGTATTAGTTTGCTCTCTGTCCTCAGGTCTTCAGCTATTTGTTAAATATTTTAGAGTTATACCTTTGATAATTATAATGTAAGAGGAAGCAGGTATCAAAATATGTGTCAATGAGAAAACAAGGGAAAAGAGCAGAATGCTAGAAAGAATTCATTTAATGGGGACATGTCTGCTTCTTCAAATCGATAAGAATGTACACTTGAAGTACGATTAAATTAAGCAAAATGTCAGCTTACTCTGTCACAGCAAGTCCTTAAGGATATAGATTATAGGACAATTCATGAAATGAATCTTCATCAGATATAAGAGATTTGTGGGGGTTTCTTTGCTTATGAAACCTTGGATTTTTATATATTAAAGTAGGTAGTGGTGGTATTTCATTTTTCACATAATAAGTCAGCATTTTAACTAGAATAGTATGATCTATAATCTGGAAAAAATATCTCTTCAAGCTGATCTAATAGGATGATGATCTATCTAAACAATGAGGAGGACATTTCATGTGGAAGAGATGAATGTGGAGAAGCTCCTATTTCTTTAATGCAGTGAATGTCTAGATGGTTAGATAACACTTATTTTATATCACGGCAGTTTGATCTGTCTGATAATTTACTTAGAACAATCTCAGAGTTCTTAAGTAAAAGCTTTATAGTCAGAAGAAATTGTAGCTCAGAAGTAACTTTATCTCACATAGCAACAACATCTTTTGTATAAGCATTTTATCTATAGGTTTAACACTATTAACAATTATTTTCTATGATAAGGAAGAAAATATGCAGCAGGCAAGAGAAGAAGAAGAAAGTCGTAAAAAAGCAACTTCACACTTCCAGTTTACTTTAACTGAAATTCAAACACAGCTGGAACAGCATGACATACATAATGCCAAACTTCGTCAGGAAAACATTGAACTAGGAGAGAAGCTGAAGAGGCTCATTGAACAATACACACTGAGAGAGGAGGTAAAGATTTTTTATTTATTTAGACAACATCTCATTATTACCAAAATCCTTTACTATTCATTGCTAACTTAAAGCTAATGTTATAGAACAATATTTTAGATCTTTTGTATATGCGTGTTAGAAATCAGGCATTTATTAGAAAAGGATTGGTACCAGGTGAATTGAAGGACTAATTGGAATCCTCAATCAATGGCCCAAGAGTCAGTGGCTTTGGATATCTGAAGTAATTTCTATCAATGCATTAAGTACTTCTTGCTTGCCAGGTGATTCTTGGAAGATGGTGATTTTAGCATACACATTGTATTTCCAAATACTCTATCTTAGACTTCTATGAATATCTGAACTATGTATAAATACCATTGCATTCCACCTACTATAGATATTTGAGTTGAAAGCGAATGAAACTCTAATCCATGTTGTTATATAACACACCTAAAGAAGTAAGAAGTTTAAAGGATTGATCATTATCTGCAGAACCAGATTACTGCATTTATTTTATAAACTAGTTCTAGAAGTTAGTGTCTAGATTAGAAGCAAATTGGTGATAAACTGCTTACTTTAAGAGATCTAATATATCATCTGAGAGGCTTTGGGTTTTTCAAAGAATGACTTCCTGTCTTTATTATGCTTCAAGATAGTAAAAAGTGTTGCTTTTATTTGTATATATTGAGTTCCTTTCATGAAAAAAAATTTAATTTTTAAAGGTTATGACCATTTCAAATGGAAAGTTGTATGTGTTTTGCTACCAAAAGAGTATTTATAGCATTTGAGATTTGTTTTAATTTTGTCTGTTTTTAAATAAGTACAAGACATCACTCTTAGCACTATTTGAATGCATATTCTGAAATGGCAGTCATGGACTCTTTTTGAAGCAGAACCACAATAACATGGTTACACCTAAGAATTTATCAATAATCAATCAAATGCTTTGTCACTATTTATATTTCTATGTCTCACCCATACAGTTAAGATTACTAAAATCAGATCCAAACTAAGTTTATATGTTTTATTAGTTACTGTGTTTCAGCTCTTTTTTCATGTGTAGGATTCTCTCATTTCTCCCCTTCCTTGCAATAAGGAAACTTGTTTTAGGCCTATAGAGTGAATTTTAATTTTAGATATATTTTTTTAATAAAGTTTTCATTTTATTTAATGAAGATTTAAAATTTTTAAGAATGACAATCTACTTCCCTATTAATATGAATTTTAAAGTATATTTTTATATTATATCACTTGTAAGGCTTTGTTTTTTAGGTGTTAACCAAATTTTCTTTTTTCGTTAAGATATAATTTACTAATATAATTAACTATTTTCAATCAAAGACAGATCTCAGGTATTCCTCAAAACTTAATTACCTATTATAAATCAGCATTTATTCTGTCACATAGGATTTTAAAACTAAAAGAGATATACTATTTTTTCATCTGAGAACAGTATTCTAATTATTTTATTTTCCATAAATACCACTTAACAATTGAATTTGAGCCGAGACTGGTTTGGCTCAATGGATAGAGTGTTGGCTTGGGGACTGAAAGGTCCCGGGTTCGATTCTGGTCAAGGGCATGTACCTTGGTTGCGGGCATATCCCCAGTAGGGGGTGTGCAAGAGGCAGCTGGTCGATGACTCTCTCATCAATGTTTCTAGCTCTTTATCTTTCTCCCTTTCTCTCTGTACAAAATAATAAAATATATTTTTTAAAAAAAATTGAATTTTAAAATAATTTTTTCTCTTACCAATTATGTATATAACACGTTAGGCATTAAATTATTCTTAAATAATTTAATCATTGCATGGATTTTTATAACTCCATAAAATATATAGTTTTCACCTTTATAGATACAGGAACTGAGGTTTATTAAGAGACAGAATTTACCCAAGGCCATTCATTGAACCTGGGTTTTATTTCTACCATTATGTCATGCTATTTACCTGCATTAAGAAATTTGGGGAAATCTAATGAGAAAAAAAAATGTTCAGAAATTTATGTGTTATGAATGAGTTAATTTCCATCCATTTTGAAAACTTAGACCTAATTTTTAATGTAGAGCACAATAGGAAGTACAAAATTATTGATGGATGACAGCTTACCTTCAACAACCATGGGTACCATGTACTAATCAGAAGAGATGATTCTTGAAGGTTCAGGATGGTTCAAGGTGATGTACATAGATGTTTCTGCAAGTACAGGGACAGAAACACTTAATGTTATTAGCTATTATTATATTAACAGGAAAAACATGGAAGCGAGTAATTGTATCTTATGCTATTTTTTTTTTCATCCATGTGTTCCCTTTTTTTTACTGTGTTGGAACAATTTTTTTTTTTTTTTTTCTGTAGCGTATTGATAAAGTATTCAAACGTAAGGAACTGCAACAACAGCTTGTGGATACCAAGCTTCAGCAAACAACACAACTCATAAAGGAAGCTGATGAAAAACATCAGAGAGAAAGAGAGTTTGTAAGTTCTATTTCTTAAAGAAATTTATTGCCAGAATTATAATCAAAGCTTTTAACACCATTTTATCTAATTCAACATTCTACATCTAAATCATGCAATTTTTTTTTACTCTAGATTGAGAAACGTTAGTATATATTCAGCCTTTCATTTCTAATGAAATTTTCATGTAAGAAATATACTGGAATTTTTACATGAAATTAGTGAAAAGACCTGTACATGATTTATTTTTTATTTTGTTGTATAGAGTATTGTCTTGAATTTTAGGTAGTAGTCATAAGGTTCAAAGTTGTGGCAGTCATTTGGCAAGTTTGGCTTTTAAAACTAGAGACAGTTATCCTAAATAGTTAAGTAGTTATACTAGAGAGACAGTGCACGAAATTTATTCACTGGTAGGGTCCCTAGTGGCCGCTGGCGTCCAGGACAGTACTCCATCCCCTCCCCTGGCCACCTGCCATCATCATCATCATCATCAGCTGAGACCTCCCTCCCTTCCCCTGGCCAGCCAGCCCTCTGGTTGAACTCGTAGAAGAACTTGTTGAGGAGACTATTTGCATGCTATCCATATATATATATGTGTATATATATATATATATATATATATATATATATATATATATATATAGAGGACTAGAGGCTGGTACACAAATTCATGCAGTAGTGAGGTCCCTTGGCCTAGACTGTACCCTCTTTCAATCTGGGACCCTGAGGTGATGTAATAGAGCCGGTTTTGACCCTTTACCACAGACCAGGCAGAGGGATTGCACTGTTGCATGAATTCATGCGTTGGGTTTCTAATAGGATAATAAAAGGCTAATCTGCAAATCAACCATTGGAGCAACCACTTGCTGTGACACATATTGACCACTCAATGCAGGAGTTGGTGGTGAGAGTGCTCCCACAGGGGGAGCACTGCTCAGCCAGAAGCTAGGCTCATGGCTGGCGAGCGCAGTAGCGGGAGCCTCTCCTGCCTCTACAGCAGCACTGAGGATGACCCACAAGCCTAAGGCATCAGTCAGACTTTCCCCAAGGGCTTCTGGACTGAGAGTGCTCAAGCTGGACTGAGGGGAACCCCCCCCTCCCAGCCCCCGCCCATGAGAGCATGAATTTTGTACCAGACCTCTAGTATTTTACATCAAGTTTTCCAGTTCTGATCATAGTAAGAACCCATACTCAATATATGCAAATTAAACTATATATGTAACTTAAATGAGGTGGTAAATTATTATAATAATACTTGAGGCCTGGTGCCCAAAATTTGTGCACTTGAGAGGACATTCCTCATGCTGGCTAGCACTCACTTGCAGTCCAGGAGCTATTAATGGATGTCTGATTGACGGTTAGGCCTGTTCCCCATCAGTCAGACATTTTTAGCACTGTCATGAAGGTGTGAGCCCAGCTTCTGGCTCAGGGATGCTCCCCCTGTGGGAGTACACGGACCACCAGAGGTCAGCTCCTATGTTGAGCGTCTGCACCATAGTGGTCAGTGCACATCATAGTGACTGGTGGTTCTGCTATTTGGTTGATTTGCATATTAGCCTTTTATTACATAAGACTAGAGGCCCAGAGGCACGAGCATAGGGGTGTGTGTCCCTCAGCCCAGCCTACATCCTCTCCAATCTGGGATCTCTCTCACAATCTAGGATTGCTGGTTCCCAACTATTCACCTGCCTGCCTTCCTGATTGCCCCTAACTACTTATGCCTAATAGCCTGATCCATCCCTAATCACTCCCCTGCAAGCTTGATCACCTCTAACTCCCTCCCCTGCAGACCTTGTTGCCCCTAACTGTCCTCCCCTGCAGGCCTGGTCACCCCCAACTGCCCTCCTCCCCAGGTCTGGTCACACCTACTACCTTGCTGGCCTAGTTGCTCCTAACTGTTCTCCCCTGAAGGCCTGGTTCCCCTTAACTGCCATCCCCTGCCAGACTGCTTGCCCTAACTCTCCTCCCTGCAAGCCTGGTCGCCCCCAACTGCCCTTCCCTGCTAGTTCAGTCACATCTACTTCACTTTCTTGCCAGCCTTGTTGGCCCAACTGCCCTCCTCTGCTGACCCAGTCACCCCTAACTCATCCCCTGCAGGCCTGATCTTCTCCAACTGCTCTCCTCTGCTGGTTCGGTCATACCTAATGCCCTCCCTTGCCAGCCTGGTTGTCTCTAACTACCATCCCCTATAGATTTGGTTCCCCCAACTGCTCTCCCCTTCAAGCTTGGTCCCTCCCAATTGCCCTCTTCTGCTGGCCATCTTGTGTCCACATGGGGGTGACAATCTTTGAGCACATGGGGTGGCCATCTTGTGTGTTGTGTGATGGTCAATCTGCTTATTACCTCTTTATTACATAGGATGGACTATACAGATCATTCAAGTATTCCTCAGGATATAAATAACTTATACTCTTAAGTGCAGGTCAAAGATTTAGAGAAATGCTTTTTCACAAAGTGGACCTTTAGTGAAAGCCAACAATGGTATCTGATACATAACTAAAGAAGCGATTGCTGTTTTCAACATACATATACATATACATACATGTAGTTTACGTGTATTTTTTTCTGGTTGGGTTAGGGTGTAAATGGACTGTGTAAAACTTTTGTTTTAACCGAAACTGGTTTGGCTCAGTGGATAGAGCCTGCGGACTGAAAGGTCCTTGGTTCGATTCTGGTCAAGGGCACATACCTTGGTTGCAGGCACATCCCCAGTGGGGGTATGTGCAAGAGGCAGCTGGTCGATGACTCTCATCGACGTTTCTAACTCTCTATCTCTCTTAATACCTCTCTGTCTAAAATCAATAAAATATATTTTTTTAAAAACTTTTGTTTTAAGAAGTTTAAAGACTGAATTTCAAAATTATCTACCATGTAACTTTACTATATAATTTTCTTTTAAATACATGTAAACAGGGTGGAACAAAAGTAGGTTTCCAGTTATTTGTATAAAAATAATACAATAACTAAAAAATAATAATAAAAGGATAAATGGTGTTTTGTGTACTTCCCCCTATAAACCCACCTTTGCTCTACTCCTTCCTAGTAACAGAGTCAAAAACCTAATCTCTGTTTTCGTTTTTGCTCCATATTTTTTCTACCTCATATTGCCACTCATGGAATAGAAGAGCTTCTAAGCCACCCAGATACTGTCAAGATTTCTAGTCTTGCTTTCTGTTTCCATTTGGTCTCATTATTTTTGTCCAAAATAGCAGAATTTAACACTGATTTTGATAAACCTTATTATGCCAACATGATACTTCTAGTAGCTAAAATATTACTCTTACATATCTAAGTGTTAAACTGGTAGAGAAAAAAGATAGAAATAATTGACAGAAGATGTAATAGGATGTTTCACACACTAATCTGTGATTCTTTCATAAAGGCTAATGCTATCTTGTGATTTGGCATTTTAGACATATGTTAATTACTATTAGTATTTTGGCAGAATGTTTCTGTTTTCTAGTTATTAAAAGAAGCAACTGAATCGAGGTACAAATATGAAGAAATGAAACATCAAGAAGTACAATTAAAACAACAGGTAACTTGACAACAGGGGATAATAGAATTTATGAGTTTCCTTGATCACAGCCAGTTAGAACAGAAAAAATTATCTCTTATCCTCTTGGATTTTTTCCCTTGCATTTAACTTTCTTGGTTTTATATTGTAAATTCCATGTTCTAAGAAATCCCTCAGCCCATGGAAATAAAGATGAGTAGTCAGCCTATTTTTATTGTGCCTTTTCTATTATCCTACAAATGGTTTTAGTAGCTCTAATTTTGTTCTTTGTGGAAAGTAAAACTGGCACAAAAAAAACAAAAAAACATATATTTTCCAATATGTAATTTAAAAAACTGCTTATGTTTACACATGTCCACTCCTCAGGTAATATTGTGTCAGTACTTTTAAAAAAAATTAAGTTTTTCTCTGTATGTCAGTTCAGTCTTTTTCTGTTATCCCATTGAAGTGTCTTTTTTGTGGAATAAAGTAAGCAGATGCTCAAACATTTATAAGCAGAGGAAAGAATGGGTTTTCCATATTTTAAGTATTTCTAATGCCTACTTAGTTTGAACAGATAGAGCAATTAGCTATTTATATGCATACTTTATTCTTTTAGTTACCTAGATTATATTCTTTTCAAGAAAGTACAACTCTTTCTTGAAAATTCTTTTCAAGAAAGTACAACAAAATTTAAAACATGTAATATTTAATGTAATAATTCCTTTAATTAATTCTAAAGTACACTAATACATTAAGAGTGGCATGCATCTATCTTCATGAGCAACCGTTATCTTTGGGAACATTTTATAATGTAGTGATAATCTATAAAACTAACTTTTTATGACAGTTGAAGAGGAATCAAATATCAGAAGTTTATGTTTTGATCCTATTAGCATGGTTCTAATAAATTTATACTCCTTACTCATTACCCTTATACATTTATTTATTGTTTGTGGGTTAGTTTTTGGTTTTGTGTTTTTGTTTGTTTTTAGAAAAAAAGAAAGGTAGAGAGAAATTTGTTGTTTCACTTATTTTTGCATTTATTGATTTATTTCTGGGTGTGTCCTGACCAGGGATGATTTTGGCATGTTGGGATGATGCTCTAACCAATTTGCTACCCAGTTAGGGCCTTAGCCCTAAACATTCAGTTGTTCACATAAATAGAGAAGAAAATCATTGTGGGGAAGGTAGATAAAACCTATGTATAGTTTGGAAAGATGTTCCTTAATGGAATTCATAAATAATTGTTGTAGCAATATGTCACAGGGGAGCCTTTTCACTAATTTCTGTTGATATCAGTCTGTGATTTGTTACTCTTGTCTTCCTATCTAATTACTAGCAATCTGTTGCAGGAATATTCCTGCAAGACTTCCAGTGGGCTTCCCACCACCGCTACCTCTCCTGCTCCCTCATTCCCCCATACCTCTCCAGCAGCTTCAGAGGCACTATCATTTTTTCTTGGCAAAACACTACATCAGTCACCCTTAGCCATGGGTTCACTTTCTGCAGTTTTCTCACATTAAATGGAAATTTCAGAAATAAATAATTTATAAATTTTATAAATTCCTTTGCATTCTGAATTGCATGATGAAATTTTGTACCTGATGCTCTGTTCTGCCTGGGACATAAGTCATCCTATTGTCCAACATCTTCACATTGTATATGCTACCAGTTTATCTGATGGGTATCCATTTGTCAGAGAGAATGAGGTATATTACATTCCCACAGGTTTACAGTATATTATTATCAAAGATATATTTTATTATTATCTATTTTTGTTGATTTATTGTTATGCCTAATTCATAAATTAAACTACCTGTTTAATTTGTATAGTATTCTCCTATACATATTTACTCGCTCCCCCAAAAATAGATGACTGAATTCTACATTCAGTTAGCATTCTTTTTCTATCTAGAATAAAAATTTCTTCAGGGTGTGAAAGATGTTTCTATTGTTTTTAGCTTTCCTTTTTTTCTCAACTATACTCACACTAATTTCTTTTTTAACCCAACCATTCTTTTGTTTCATTTTCCTTCCATGTTCAAAAAGAAGATAGCCTTGAAATAAAGCTAAAAAGTATGCAAGTTGTATATATTAAAAAAAAATTACCTTTATCTAAGAACAATTTTTGAAATAAAAGAAGAGTGGTAGGGCATAAAACATTGATTGTATGATATTTATAGCATATCACTATACATTAGTTTTTATTATGATTGATAGAATATTTGTACATTTTAAGCATTTATACAGATTAAACAAAATTTTATAAATTTCAATGGTTTATCAGAATTTTAGCTATCTCCTGTGTGATTGGTCTAAGATTTGCTATTTGTTTGATCTTATTTTTATTACATTTAACAAGTCACAATTGTTTAGCTATATTATCTTCTTTTAAGTCTTTTGGATTTTAAATTACTTACCTGGAACTCAGAATATTTCATACTTTTTTCGGTAGCTTTCTCTTTATATGGATAAATTTGAAGAATTCCAGACTACCATGGCAAAAAGCAATGAGCTATTTACAACCTTCAGGCAGGAAATGGAAAAGGTATTTACAAACTTACAGTAGAATATTGCTAGAAAATTTACATGTGATTATTTAAATATGATTAAGTATTATTGTTTGGAAGAATTTATATTGTGATACAATGTTTATCTTTTCTTATCCTTCACTGGCATGTTCATGCATTATGTCCAGAAATTATCTCAAGTTGCTAATAGTCACCATATCCTCAAAATTCTGTTATTTTTAAAGAGAATTCTCCTAATAAGGACAGTTTTTCTTATAAATAGTTTTTTTTAAATCCTTATCTGAGAATATGCTTTTTGTTTTGTCAACCTTAGAGAGAGAGAGGAAGTGAGAGTTGGAGAGAGAAATACATTAATTGGTTGTCACCAATATATACCCCAAGGAGACCATACCCAAAACAGGTAGGTGTCTTGACCAAGGGTCAAACCCATGAACAATAAATAAATAAATAAATAAATAAATAAATAAATAAATAATTGATTTCAGAGAGGAAGGGAGTGGGAAGAAAGAGAGAGAGAGTAATATCAATGATGAGAGAGAATCATTGATAGGCTGCCTCCTCCACATGTTCTATTGGGAATGAGCATATGCCCTTGACTAAAATCCAACCCCGGACTCTCCAGTCTGCAAGCTCATGCTCTAGCCATTAAGCCAAATCAGTGAGGGCAAACCTATTACCTTTTAATATATAGGACAAAGCTCTAGCTAAGCCACTGACCAGAACTAGAAGTAGATTTTTTTTAAATCACTTTCAGATGCTTTTTTCTCTGTTCTTTTCCAAAGTTTGTGTAAATTGTGTGTGTGTGTTTTTAAGAACCAAACCAAGCTTAGTAATATATTTTGGTTTTAATAGATTATTTCTAAGGGTCTAAATAATGCCTAAAATAGTTCTACTTTTTTTTTTTAATTTGCCTTATTAATATAGTTTATCAGTTTTAAAAATAAATTTGTCATAGAAAACTGTTCTGGGTCATTCCATTTCAGAATATGGGCTAAAATTAAATTTCAGAGAGTACAGTTATCTGTCACTGTCCTGAAATAAAACAGGGAACACTTTAGTTTGGAGCATAGATTCTGGAACTGGGATCTGTTTTTGCATTATGTGACTTCTTTGGGGCAAGTTATTTTATTTGGCATTTCACCTTTAAAATTGAGATTTTAAGAAAAGGTGATCATTAGAAGATAACTATCAATAAGGCCTGATATTTTACAACCAATCAATATATATTACTCATTATTATCAGATATTGCATACTGGTTGAATGCTTGTATACAGTAATCAGATTTCTCACATTAATAATTTTTTAAATTATTTATTAGAGACCATTGACATGTTGTTTAAGCTCTGTTTTCCTTCATTGTTAAGAATGGGAATAAGGAGGGAAATTAAAACTGGAGGCAGAGTAAGTGGATGCTGAATCAGTTTGTTCCTACAGCTAAAATACAGAAAAAATTCCCAAATGATAATGATCAATGGAAAACTGGCAGGAAAGAATCTTTACACTAGAGGACACAAAATGGAGATAGCATAGAGACTGATAGGAGGGGAGGAGGCAAAAAAAGACTGGCTTGGCACCCACAGACAGTAACTGAAATCCTGGAGAGAGATTGCTGGTGTGGGGATTCCCACTGAGTACTCAGGGATCTAATCCCTATGCTGGGCTCCCCAACAAAGAGCTCCAAAATTAAGGAGTGTAATCACATAACATCTGATTCTGAAAATCAGGGTGCTGCCTGCCAGAGAGTAACAGCTGAAAATTCAGGCATTCTCTTAAAGGCCCAACACACAAAGTTCCCTGTGGAACCACCCACCTTGTGCTCTGGCAGAGAGAGAACTGAGTGGAATGGAGCTGTGATACAGATGCCAGGACTGGGGACTTGGGAGGATAGAGCTCAGAAGGCAGACACCCCAAGTTTCCTGTGCTGAGTCATTCCCTGATATAGGGGAGGATATCTTTCCCACATAGACATCTGTCTTGCCTGGGAGGAAGACAGTTGACACACTCTATTGAAAAACACTTGTTCTGTGGCTACAAAGGAGATTAAAAATAACCATTAGCCTCCAGGCAGAAACAATGGCCCCACCCTGTTAAAATAAAAGCTCTAGGTACACCTGAGGATGATTGCCTGGGAACAATTCAAGTCAGTATCTGGGGCTTTGAATCTTTGCCTGACCCAATTAGTCAGAAACAGCCTTTAATACTGTGTAGCACTAGAGATTGAGAGGTGCAGAAGATTTATCTCATACATAATCACAAACCCAAACTGAAAGCCACATGAGGAGACAAAATAAGCCCCAAATGAAAGATCTAGAGAATTTTCCAGAAGAAGAGAAATGAAGCCGAGATAAGAAATTTATCTGGCCAAAACTGGTTTTGGCTCAGTCGATAGAGCATCAGCCTGCGACGGAAAGGTCCCAGGTTCAATTCAGGTTAAGGGCACATAAATTGGTTGCAGGCACATCCCCAGTATGGTATGCAGGAGGCAGCTGATCGATGTTTCTCTCTAATCGATGTTTCTAACTCTTTATCCCTCTCCCTGCCTCTCTGTAAAAAATCAATAAAATATATTTTTTTAAAGAAATTTATCTGGCCAAAACCGGTTTGGCTCAGTGGTAGAGCGTCGGTCTGCAGACTGAAAGGTCCCAGGTTCTATTCCGGTCAAGGCATGTACATTGGTTGTGAGCACATCCCTGGTAGGGGGTGTGCAAGAGGCAGCAGGTCGATGTTTCTCTCTCATTCTAGCTCTCTATCTCTCTCCCTTCCTCTCTGTAAAAAATCAATAAAATATATTTTAAAAAAAAGAAGGAAATTTATCTGAAACAGAGTTTAGAGTAATGATGGTAAAAATGCTCAGGAGCATGAAAAAAAAACAAAAAACAGTCTGAGATAAAGAATGACATAACACAAAGGATACATTGGAAGGAATACATAGCAAATTAGGAGAACTAAGGACAAATCAGTGAATTAGAAGACGGAGCTGAAAGTATCAATTAGAGAGCCACATAAGAAAAAATATATCACAAAACAGGAGGCACTTGCCTGAGTTGTGGGATCGATCCCCACAGGGGGACATGCAGAAGGCAGCCGATCAATGATTCTCTGTCATTGATGTTTCTCTCTCTCTCCCTTTTCCTTCCTCTCTGAAATCAATAAAAATTAAAAGAAATTATTTAATTCCTACAGTAAAAACACCCAAAAACATGAAATACTTGGAGACTAAATAGCTATTAAATAATAAATGGGTTACCAACAGAATCAAGAAAGAAATTTTAAAAACTTCTTGGAAAAAATGAAAATAAACACACAATAACCCAAAAATCTCTGAAAGATATCAAAAGTAGTTCTGAAATGGAAGATCAGAGTAATACCAGCATATCTCTGAAAACAAGAAAATCAGCAATAAACTCTTTAACCATACAACTTAAAGCAAAAGCCCATAGCAAATAGAAGGAAATAATAAAGACTAGAACAGAGACTAAAAAATAAATACAAAAAGATTAATGAAACCAAAAGTTGGTTCTTTGAAAAGATGAACAAAATTGATAATCTATTAGACAGACTCATCAAGTAACAGAGATGACACAATTAAAATCAGAAACAGAAGTGGAGGAATACTCCACAGAAATACAAAGGATTGTAAGAAAATACTATGCTAACAAGCTGGACAATGTAGAGGAAGTAGACAAATTCCTAGAAAAATGCAATCTCCCAAAACTGTATCAGGTAGAATTAAAAAACCTGAATAGGCCAAAAACAACTTACAAAATAGAAGCAGTAAAAAAAAAAAAAAAAAAAAAAATCTCAGCAAACAAAAACCAGGGTTCAGACAGCATCACAGGGAGTTTTACTAAACTTTAAAGAATTACTAATCCCTATAATCCTTAAACTATTTCAGAAAACCCAAAAAGAAGGAACATTTCCAAACTCCTTTTATGAAGGCAGCATAAAATTATCCTCATTAGATTCTATCTAATAATAGAGTAATATGCAAATTAACTGTCACTCTGTGACAAAATGGTGGCACCTTGTTCCCTCAGCCCTGCTGCTGGAGTGTCTAGCCTGTCCTCTGGAGCAGCAAGGGTGGATTTCATCTCTGAAGGGGTTCCAGCCTTCTTCACTCTACAACTGCTACAGTGTCTGGGCCTGTCAGCCCCACTGGGGTTCATGGGGACTAAGCAGCCAGGCTGGATCTACTCCCAAGCTTTGCAGATGGAACCCAGACTTGGGGGCCTCCTTAGCACAGAAGTGGCGGGAACACCCTCCGGCTACTTTCCAATTTCCTTCCAGTGTGCACAAATCCATGCCCCAGGCTTCTAGTATTAAAAATAAATAATCCTGAGTCAAATACATTAAAACATTTTTTCCACTGAAATATCAATAGGAAACTACAAATGGAAAAATTGACAAAAGAATAAAGAGTAAGATTATTAGGAAACAAAAATAAAAGTTTTTAAAGGAAAAAAAAACTTCCTTTAGGTAGGTCAGGGAATTCAATTTAGAATTTAAATTAATATTTGTGTTGATTTGCAGATGACAAAGAAAATTAAGAAACTGGAAAAAGAAATGATAATATGGCGTACCAAGTGGGAAAGTAATAATAAAGTACTTCTACAAATGGCTGAAGAGGTGAGAAGGTTTTACTGAATAGTGAATGCTTATTTATTTCAATATTAAGGCAGGCTAGAATGTCCGTTGTTTACTAAAGTAATTGCTGGTTTGATTACTAAAGTTTGATTAGTTTACTTAAGTTAGATTTAGTGAGGTATGTAAACTTACTTCCCCAACTAATTAGTTCAGGTATATGCTATAGATAGTTTTAAAGTATTTCAATTTTGCTTCTATAGTAAATAAGCTTATGTATTTTAAAAATTATTAAACTTGGCATTCTATTCCCCTTAAAGTTTTTGATTCATTAAATTTGGGATATAGCCCAAGAATTTGCAATTCTAAAAATTATCCAAGTAATACCAAAACCTGAGAATCAGTGATCTTCAATAAAGACAATTTGATTAAGATTTACTATTCAGAGAACACAGACTTGTAACTTACTGCTTTTCTGTCCTAACTTATTCTTTCCAAAGGGCAACAAACTACTTTTTGTCATACTTGTTGTAAATAGCAATGAAATGAATTTTATGTACAGTTTCTAAATGTCTCACATAAACTTGGTAGGGCTAGTTAGAGAAAACATTAGGGCTCTAAAAGGTGAAAGAGAAAAAAGAAATCTATGTAGATATAAAAACATTTCTATTTATAGCATTTTAAATTAAAATGCTAAATTTCCTTAAAATTGCTTAAAGTCATTAAGTAGATCTTGGTTATTTGAAGAAAATATGACAAAGAATTTAATTTTTGCATTGCTTCATATAATTATAAATACTTTAAATACCAGTATATATACTGAGATGTCCAAGAGATGATAAAAAGTAGTTTCAAGTATGGCTTAGATTAGTTAATTTTGTATACAATAATTAATTTCTATTTATATATACAAAGATTACATAAATTCTGTCTTTTTTCCCCTTCAGAAAACTATTCGCGATAAAGAGTACAAGTCCTCTCAAATGAAATTGGGACGGTTAGAGAAGCTGTTTAGAGCTCTTCAAATGGAAAGAAATGAGCTCAATGAGAAGGTAGAAGTCCTGAAAGAGCAAGTCTCTGTAAAAGAAGCAGATGTAGATTTAGCAACAGCTGTGATAAAGCCTTGTACTACTATTGCTTTTCAGAAAGAGTTGAACACTTCCTCTAAGAGAGCTCCAGGAATCTACTTGCAGGATGAAACCAAGACAGAAAATAAAACAAAACGAAGTTCAAAAGACCTGTCTCACATAATCTCTTCGGGGCATTGATTCAGTTAATGTGATTACTGAACTCAGTTAAGACTGATGACTATATTGAGAGATATATTTTCTATATAACTTTTCTGAAGCAGCTAATATTGATTTTCAGATGAAAGTTTTATTACATTTTCTACCACTTTGTATTTTCTTGGAACTTCTGAACGATTCGATATTGGAAGCTGCTTAGCAGTTTTGTATTGTTTAATGTATACATTTCCAAAGTTGCATTGCATAGCTGCCTTATTTTTCCTTTGTTGGAATATGTGTTCATTACCTTGTCCTTTTAATGTATGTGTCTATGTTTATTGTCTTATTTGTTCCTTTGCATGAAATTATCATTAAATTTAGATTTGTTCTGACAATGGGTTCCTATGTAAAAATTAAAATTAATTTAAACTTTCTAGCCTATAACACTAAAAAATATAAAAATGATTAGTTTTGTGTGATAGCTCATTTAAATACCAAGTGAAAAATAAAACCTGAGTGTGGGATATGAAACAAGCAGAGCATATTTAATTCATATTAGTTTTTTGATAATATTTTTTATCACCACAAATTGAGATGACTACATCTTGATTTAGAGTTTTGGTAAGTTATATATATATGAACATCCCATTTGCAAAGAAATTAGGATATATAGGCAAGTCATTGGACAAACAGATTAAATAATGTATGTGACTAAAAACAATTATATTGCTTTAAATTCAGGTTAGAACAGACATATAAAGAAATAAATCAGTACTAGGTCTTTACATATAAAATGGGGAAATTTCTGAACATTTTAATTTCATTCCTTAATTTCTTTTATTTCAATGTCTGGAAAATTTAATATTATTTAAATTTCCTGTCACACTTGTGATTTAAAATGAGTTAAAATGCAAATTTATACAACAGGAAAAAGAGCTTATAGTATGAAATATTTAAAAATTTCCATCAGTGGCCATCAACAGGCTAGATGGTGAAGAAAAAAACAATGTACATGAAATTTGACAAATTACTATGCCAAAATTAGCACAATCAAACAATCCCCCATCCAAATTTTATTAATAGCTACTAAATGAGATATTGTCTCTAACACTTTGAAAGAAAATGAAGGTACATGTCAGAAATAGAATTTAACTTAAAATTGAGTTAAATTCTAAGTTACCCTAATATTTTACTAGGACCCTGCTGCTTGTAAGCTCTTAATATTTTATTAAGTTGTTGTGTACTCCATCACACTTCTCTGGATTACTTGTTTTTTGTAGAAGGTAGTGAGAGCTTTATGAGTGACAGCACTTTGTTGTTTTAAATATTATGTAGTAGTAGAAGATATTAAAAGGAACTGGATTGTTTGATTAGCTTTCAGTTTCCTTTTAGAATTTATTAACCAAGTGAAAAAAAAAGAGGTGGCGGTAACTAAAGAGAATAGTTCTTTTATAAATGAGTATGTAGTGTTCACATTTTTTACTATGTTCTTGAACCCAAGTTAGCCAAGTCTGTTTTTCTACTTGAGCAAATCTAAAATATATGGTATCTAACTCTATTTTTCAGCCCGTGTTTGGAAAATACTATAGCTCACCCACAAAAAATTTAAATGCTGAAATATGTTAAATTGTTATGCACCTTTTTGTGGAACTTCTAAAACCATTAGGTAGTGGATTTCAATGTAGACAAAAGAACATGGATGTAAAATAGCAGAGCATTTCATCTTCAGATTTATAAAAATACATTTTGTGGTTATGAGACTTAATTTTTAGTTCGGTATGATTCTTATTATACCTTTTATCACAGTTCACTTCTCAGTTGCAGAAAAATCTACCTCTTTCAGACTGTAAATGATAAGAAAAAAAGTGAAGTATAAATACACTGCTTTATTTTTATAGCTCACATCCTTCATGGAGATACAGAATTGATGAGGCAGTCTTCATTTTTCAAAGATATTTTGTAGAGATTTTTTCACTAATATGAGTCCTATTTTATCTACTCTGTTAAGATTTAGTAAATATGAAATGATTCATTTAACAGGCTCTGTGTGTTCTTTAAATTTAATGTTGAATTGTCAAATTCAAAAGTAATTTTTATAAGAAGCTGGTTTCTCTTAATTACTACCCAATTTAAGTTGAAAATAGAGGAGACTACTCTCTGATTGATTGGCAAGTCATTTTGTACAGCCTAAGCTCTGTTGGCATTTTTTTTTCTCTTGAAGTGGGTGGTTCTACAATATTTTTATAATATAACTTGGGCAAGACTTTATAAAGGTACAGGGATTGAATTTCTCTAGCTGATCTTAGCAAGAATACTTACATTTAGAATTTCAGTGATATTTAAGCAAAAGTTAAGTCCTTCTAATCCTAAGTAAGCAAGTTTTTTTTTCAAAATTGTAAGAATTATAACAATAAGCTTTTTATTTGTAATATTTGAAAGAAGTCATTTTAAAATACTATATAACATGATGCTAGAAACATTTCCACATAGAAATAAATTTTTTAAATGAATTTTTATTTAATTTATCCAGGTGACATTGGTTAATAAAACAATAGAAGTTTTATGTGTACAACTCAATACTTCACATTGTTTGCATAATGCATCCTGCACTCACCACTCAGAGTCAAGTCTCTGTTTTAATTATTTTCCACCCTTTATCCTCTTCTATCTGCCCACCCTCCTTCATTCTGGTAATCACTATACTGTTGGCTATTTCTTTCTGGGTATTTTTTTTCACCCAGTCCCCCAAGCCCTTCCACTCTAATGCTGTCAGTTGTTTCTCTGTATCTATAATTCTGATTCTGTTTTGTTCATAAATTTATTTTGTTCATTAGATTCCACATATGAGTTAGATCATATTCTTGTCTTTGTCTTATTTTAGCAGAAACATCTCTAGGTACATTCATGCTGTTGTGAATAAGTACAATTTTATGTTCTAGTTGAAAAACCTAGGAAAAAGCCAGTATTTGCATGCCCAGTTAAGTAACAAATGAAGAGAAATAAAATTGCTATATACTGGTATCTACAGTGATAAAAGAAAAACATGCAAATTATCACTACTACACCAAGCCATGCCCACCAGCCAATCAGGAGGTAGTATTCAAATTAGTCAAGATGGCAGCCAGCCACTGAACTGGAGCAAACAGCAGGCTTGGTTTCCCCCTAGTGATGGATGTAGCCAAGCTTCCTTGCCCGCCCTGACCTCCACTCAAGGCTACAAAGTTAGTTATAGAAGAATCCTAGGTACTTGCTTCCTGCTGGACCTCCACTGAAGGAGGTGCTGAAAAAAGAAAAAGGGTCTGGGACCTTGGGTTGCCAGCAAGTGATCAGACCAGTATGGGATGGCAGAAGCCATTGAAGATAAGCGGACCAGTTGGGGTCGCTTATCCTGAAATAGGTCAGTGGGGATCAGTTGGAGGTGACCAGGACATCGAGGGATAAGGAGAGTTTGGAGTGAGCAGGCCAGGGCCACTATTGTGTGTGTGTGTGTGTGTGTGTGTGTGTGTGCGCGTATTCTTAGGCATATATATATGTGTGTGACCTAATGACTGGAATGACCGGTTGACCAGTTGCTATGACATGCACTATCCACCTGAGGTGGTCTCCCCACAGCTAACCACCCATGGCCGGCCAACAACTTCCTATGGTCTCTCCCCCTGGCCGGCCACAGTTCTGCAGCCCCTCCCTCTGGCTGGCCAGTCTTGCACAGTCCCAACCCCCAATAGGCCTCAATCATCACTATGCTGAGGGACCCCACCCATGCATGAAATTGTGCACCATGTGTCTATAATGAGAGCCAGCAACCAGAATAAGTGGTCATTATGACACACACTGCAGCCTGGCCAGCTAACCCCATAAAGCCCCTCCTTCCAGCTGGCCTGTCCCTGATCAGTCAGCCTTCCGCCATCTCCTCCCAACAGGCCTCCTCCTATCTACTAATTGGGGCTGGGTTGGCTAGACTCCACCCATGAATGAATTGGTGCAGTAGGTCTATATAATAAAGAATAATATGCAAATTGACCTACATGCCATTGCACAAGATGTCCGCCCCATGTAGTCAAAGATGGCTGCCACCAGATGGCCTGCAGGGAAAGGCAGTTAGGGGTGACCAGGCTGGCAGAGGAGGAAAGTTTGGGGCAAACAGGCTGGCAGAGGAACAGTTAGACATCAATCGGGCTGGCAGGGGAGTGGTTGGAGGCAATCAGGAAGGCAGGCAGGTGAGCAGGATAGGGCCTAAATTGGCAGTTGGACATCCCTCTCACAATCCAGGATTGGGTCTAAACGGGTCCCTTGAGAAGTCCCAGATTGGAGAGGGTGCAGGCTGGGCAAAGGGCCACACACTTCTGTTCATGAATTTTGTGCACTGGGCCTCTAGTATGAAATAATTATAATAATAAAAGGGTAATATGCTAATTAGACCAAGAGATCTTCTGGACTACCATCTGCGGAATAATTGTGGAGCACTGGCCTGGTGGAAAACACCTACCTCTGCTCTGCCATTGATCCCAGAGCCCAATGTGGGTGGGGATCAATGGTGATCCCAAGCCTGATGGGAAGGGCCTCTGTCTGTTCTGACATTGATTGCAGAAGCCTGGCCTGGTGGGCAGGGCCTCCCTAAGGGCAGGAATTATTGGCAGAGCCCAGGCCAGGTAAGAAATGCTTGCCTCTGCTTTGCCATTGATCCTAGAACCCCAGCTGGGTGGCCAGGGCCACCCTCTACACATCATTGATCACAGAGTTCTGACAGGGTGGGCATGCAGGCAGGGAGAAACAGGTGGGGGTCAGCAGGTCAGCAAGGTTTGGGCAATTAGGGGCAATCAGGCTGATGGGGGTGTTAGGGGCAAGCAGGTTGGTGGGGGACAATTGGAGGGTGAGAAGGCTGCACGGGAAATAGTTGGGAGTCAGCAAGCCAGCAGTGGGAGGCAGTGAGGAAGATTAGGCTGGCAGGGTGGGGCCGTTTGGGGTGAACAGGCTAGCAAGGGAGGCAGGGGCAAGAAGACTGGTGGAGGCAGTTGGGTGTGAACAGGCCAGCAGGCAGAGTG